ATCTGCCTATACTACCAGTATATCCAACTCCCGGGTCAAACTAATGTGAGCCTACAGTGTGGCTAGTTGACTCTGTCAAACAGTCATTTCAGTCGAGCTGTCTTCTTCGGTGGTCGGATTCTATCGGTGTACATCAGCATGACAGTGTCGGAGAAGTCTAGTCACCATGAGCGGTTGTGGTTGGCCAGAGGGGGCTTTGACGTGGGGGAGGGGTGAGTGTCAGTGCCTAGCGAACCAGGTTATGTGCTTGCATGAGCATCAATCAACAGATGTCAATATTCCCGATCTAAACCGGCCACACAACAGGCTCGTTGGACTTCTGATCAACAGCTCGCGGGTGTTAAACAACCTGAGTTAGGGTATGACTGGCTGATGATGGCTAATGGGTCAGAAACGGCCCGTCTCCAGTCTCCTTAGCCTTTGTCGGCAATGTTCATTTGCCTGACCTAGTAGTCGCACTGTGGGGCTGCTGGCGGGGCTCAAAAGTGAGCTCTAGGGCAGAACGGATGCACAGGCTCGCACAACCGATTAGTGAGCATTAATCCTGCACTCTAGAGTTTCTTTTCCAATGCCCAATTGATATGCGTTCGTGTGACCCTCTTTATTCAATGTTGTACCCTGTTCTTCCACGCAGGTTCAACCTCATCAGCCGAAAGGTCTTCTACGAGTCCGATGTCGCGAGTTGGAGGACCCCCAGTGCCGCAGAGTCCCTGTAACTCGCCTCTATCTCACATTTCCATGAAAATATGTCACCAGCAGACATTCACTCCAGTCATTTCTCACTTACCTGTAATCTGTAACCTTCTTCCCCTCCGGTGTACTTGCTCGCATTATTTACTGCTCAGCTCACTAAACTGTATCTGTTACCATTTTTTGCATTTATTATACTTCGGCGGATGAGGAGGAGGGGGGGGGCTCAGCGCAGATGGCTCACTCAGTCACTCTCATTGCCGATGATGTCCGTGTGAATATCTGATCATTTTTCCGACTTCCCTTGGAAGATTTAAGTCGGCATGTAGTTCGGAGTTGGGAGTCTATCTTTCCACCTGTTTTTTTTTTAAATAAGAAATCCTGCTTTTCAAAAGGCTTCGAGGCGTAAAGTGAATGCTTTGGGCTACCGATGGTTCATCGTGGCTAACTCCGCCCCCAACTCAATCCCTAGCCATCTGACAAGGTATAATTAGGAATACGGCATCTGTAGGTAAGGAAAGGAAGAAAGGGCGAGCAGCTTTTGTTTCCTTGTTTAGGTCTGCCTAATTAATGACCACGTGGGATGAAAGCCACAAATGGACTTCCTGGCGGTAACACGACTCTTAGGCTGCATACCTGTTTGTCAGGCAACTGATCCAACTACTCAAACAGCTTCTTTCAACGATGGCTGTCATTCTAGTGGAGGATGCCGGCCTGTAAACTGCAATCTCTGGCTTGCATCCACTGAGATGGACCTTCTCCAAACTCTCTGAATACTATGTACTTTATCATGCGGTATATTAAAATTCCCATGAAATGTTCATCGGAATTCTAAAATGTGGTTTTTCTTTTCGGATAGCACTGCCGTGAAAGACAAGGAAGGCTGGAATGACCATTGCTGGCTCATTGGTTGTAATCAGCTAGTTAAACCCAACTGCAATTGATGCCTCATCCGAGGTTCGAACCCGCGGCCTTTTGTTTAGAAGTCTAACGCCCTAACCGTTGAGCCATGGGCTCGCCATCTTGTCAGTTTAGATCGGGAGGTATTGGCATTCGTTGATTAACACTTGCCAGTCGCTGAAGGAACTTGACAATGAGCAGCCCCAAGACAGAGCGAGACGAGTGAGTTCCGTCAGCGATCGGTGAACTTTAATCAGTGAATGTGCTTTCCATTCGAAAGGATCACTTACGCTGCAAGACTGCTTAACATGCAAGATAATCCCGATACATTCCGGTCACTTCGGGATACCGGCCTTTGAACAGGCTTATTTTTGGCCGCCTGCAAATACGGTGCTCTGTGACAAATGGCTACTTAATTAGTATGCCTTTCCTCCGCTGATTTTCGATGCCCTTATAGGTTCAATTATACTTAATGGAAACATGCACGAAAATGTCCTTTCTTGTTCTCATTCAGGCAGCAGCGTAAATGCGGTTTTTCCTTACTAGAGGGCTTTCCCAGCATCAAATCCTCACATCAGATCAAAAGAACGAGACAAAATATAACGCTTCACTACCAAACCCCATTTTGATCATGACTTTACATGAGTTAGCTCACCTACTGTAAGTCGGAAAATGTAGGCCACTTTTGAGTTCCTTCAGGATGGCGTTAGCGTTGTACGCTAATGATCCCATTAGTTATGGTCAAATAAACATAAACGGGGTAAACAGTGGTATATAATGGATGGGATAGGCCAAATGGTCTATGTACATAAAACAACTGTATGCGGATGGTGTTACGGGGCGGCGTAAGCGCACGCCCTCCCCGAACGACATTCCCACGCCAGCATCTGATCTGCTCACATACAGCACA